AAAAGAAGATGGAAGGAATACACAGAGTCACTGTACCAAAAAGAACTGGTCAATCTTCATCCATTTCAGGAGGTGGCATATGTTCAAGAACCAATGGTATTGACCGAAGAGATCGAAGCTGCGCTGAGGGAACTGGCAAGGAACAGGGCTCCAGGAATTGATGGAATACTTATAGAGATGTTTGAACATATGGAGGCATTCACTTGGTTATGCCAAGAGATTTGGAAGACAGCTACTTGGCCAACTGACTAGAAGAGTATTTGTACCCATTACAAAGGTGATCCCACAGAACGGGGAAATTTCCAAACAATATCATTAATATCTCATGAAAGTAAAATTTTACTGAAGATAATTCAAAAATGTTTGCAGCAATGTATTGACAGAGAACTTCCAGAGGTGCAGGCTGGATTCAGAAGAAGATGAGGAACGAGGGATATCATTGCTGATGTCAGGTGGATCTTGGCTCAAAGTAAAGAATACCAGAAAGATGTTTACTTGTGTTTTATTGACTATACAAAAGTATTTGGTTGTGTGGATCATAACAAATTGTGGATAACATTGAGAAGAATGGGAATTCCAGAATACTTAATTGTACTCATGAGGAACCTGTACGTAGACCAGGAAGCTGTCGTTCAAACAGAAAAAGGGAACACTGGTTTAAAGTCAAGAAGGGAGTGAGTCACAGTTGTATCCTTTCACCATACTTACTTATGTATGCTGAGCAAATAATACAAGAAGCTGGACTATATGAAGAAGAACATGGCATCAGGATTGGAGGAAGAATCATTAACAACTTGCGATATGCTGACGACACAACTTTGCTTGCTGAAAGTGAGGATGACTTGAAGTACTTAACTGATGAAGGTTGAAGAATACAGTCTGCAGTATGGATTACATCTCAATATAAAGAAAACAAAAATCCTCACAACTGGACCTATAAGCAGGATTACGATAAATGGAGAAAAGATTGAAATTGTCAAAGACTTCACATTGCTTGGTTCTACAGTCGATGCCAGTGGAAGCAGCAGTCAGGACATCACACGACGTATGTTGTTGTTGTTGTTAATGTGCCGTCGAGTCAAACCCGACTCATAGCGACCCCTCCTTGGGTTTCCGAGGCAGTATCACTACGGAAGTAGGATTGCCCAACCTTCCTTCCGAGGAGTGGCTGGTGGGTTTGAACCGCCAGCCGTCTGGTTAGCAGGCAAGTGTCTTAGCCACTATGCTACCAGAGCTCCCACACGACGTATAGCACTGGGCAAATCGGCTGCAAAGGACCTCTTTTAAGTGCTGAAGAGCAAAGATGTCTCCTTGAGGACTAAGGTGCACCTGACACAAGCCATGGTATTTTCAGTTGCCTTATATGCATATGAGAGCTGACAATGAATAAGGAAGACTGAAGAAGAATTGATGCTTTTGAGCTGTGGTGTTGGTGAAGAATGCGGAAAGTACCGTGGACTGCTAAAAGAACTAACAGATCTGTCCTGAGGAAGTACAGTCAGAATGCTCCTTGGAGGTGAGAATGGCCAGACTTCGTCTCACATACTTTGGTCATGTTGTTAGGAGAGACCATTCCCTGGAGAAGGATGTCATGCTAGGTAAGGTGGAGGGTTGACGAAAGAGGGGAAAGCCCTCAGTGAGGTGGATTGACATGGTGGCGGCGGCGGCGATGGGCTCCAGTGTAGCAGGAATCGAGCCGGTTCAGTACCACGCGGTGTTTTGTTCTGCTGTGCATAGGGTTGCTATGAGTCAGAGACAACTCAATGGCACCTAACAACAGCAACAACAAACAGCTCTCTTCCCACTTCCTCCCCATACCTACTTCTTTCCTGTGTCCTTCCCTCCAGTGCACTCCTGCCTGAGGAGTCTCCCTGAGCTGTCTCCCTGTGTGTACACAGCCCTTCTGTTCTCCGTGATTTATCTCTCCATGGAATGTATGTATCTCATATGCCTGTTTTCTGGTTGGCTGTAAGCCACAGGAGTGGGTTCAGTTCCAGACCTGAAGGGCAGCTAGAGGCCATAATCTCAGAGGTTTCACCAGGCTCCATCAGACCAGCAAACCTGTCCTCTTTTTTATGATTTTGAGTTTTGTTCTGTATTGTTCTCCAACTTTAATTTTTTGGAAGTAATTGCCAGGCCTTATTTCGAGGTATCTCTTTGTGGACTCGAGTGTCAAACCTTTTGAGTAGCAGCTGAACCATTAACCACTTGTCCCACTGTGCTATATAAATATGTTGTAGTCTAAAATTAAATGATCTTTTTGGGCAACTTTATTTTCTTACTGACTGATGCAATATACTGTTAACTGCAATGTCTAAGCCTTTTTCTTGTGCTATTATTATTTTTTGTCTTATTCAAAACTTTTTTTTTTTTTAAATTAGAGGAACTTCTTGATTGAGTAGGTAAAATGTTTCTTGGTCTTGATTTTTACAGTGCTTTTTTTTTTCCCCCTAAATAGTCTGACCTTAACAGAAACTTTGTCTTTCAGATTCTAGTTTGAGAAAGGAGGGAAAGGACATGTTTTGAATTCACATATGCATGTATCCTACATGTTCCATATTAAATTTCACTTGAGTTCTGAAAGTGCCATATAAAATATATGTTAATTTTCTCAGCTTTTCCTGTCTGCAGATTTGACAAGTATACATTCTGTCTTTATTATTATATCTTTATCAAATTGTTGGTAATGTTATCTGGGCTTAATTGAGGATGGATCCCTATGGTGTACTAATACTGCTAAAGTTGACATACAACTAAAGTTATTAATCCCTCTTATTTTATTAGTATTCCAGCCTGCATTTCTGTGGTTTGCTCATATTCTCATTGTGATTGAGATCTTTATCTATTTCTTTTTCTTTCTATTGCTCAGAATCAACTCATTTGGGTTTGGCATAGGC